CACGATTATATTGATGATTTTGTTGCGAGAAGGNGTTTCCCAATAGAGTTTTTCTGCAGTTTGATGCATGGTGCAACACTTGCAACCTTTATGAATATAAGAGAAGCTGTGTATAGCTTGTGATCCAGCACCAAGACTTGCCTGTGAAATGTAAATGTAGAGTTATATTTATTGCTATATATCTTTTGAATGAAGAAAACATCGAAGAGGCAAAGACCCCACAGATGTATGTTTGATTTCTTTTTTGATCTTTTTCTGATTTTTTGATTTTTTTTTTGATTTTTTTTTGATTTTTGGTTTCGAAAGAGATAGAAAGTACGGCCTGTTACGGCCTGTTTCTTTCTTTCTTCGTTAATCATCAGTCTACGAGAATGTTGCTAACAAATTAGTAGCACGATGCTGTCCATTGATTCAGTGGCCAGCAATTGTCTCAGTTTCCGAGACATAAACATCTTCTTGGTGTGGCTTATTGAAAATCTTCTTCGCTTATTTCAGCCAACACCAGGAAAGGATTCAAATTAGAGGAGGTATTTTTCATTGATGGGGTTGACCCCAAGGAACCCTTCTGATCAGTCAGGATTGATCCCGTTGTTGTCGCCATAATGACGCTCCGTTCAGGTCTTTTCCGGGAATTTCTGCGTTTTCTGCCTTGAACTTTCCAACCATCATCAGTAATATTAGATACCAAAGTATCAGACATTTCAACGGTAGTTCCGACTTTTTTGGAGCCCATATGTGGATCCTCTTCCGCGTCTGGGAGTGATCCCTCAAGCAAATCCTGGCTGAGTCCCAGGTCTTTCTCATCAATAGTTTCACAGGCAATATCCATCGAATTGATGACTGCATTTTTGGTCAGAGCCTCGTAGTTGTCCACAGCCAGATCCATAGCCGCAGAAATACCAGGACTCACGTTTTCAAGGGAAGAGAGCTCGAGATTTCCAGGAACTTTCTTGTGTGGTCTGCTTGGGCGTGGTTCCTGATAGTCGTTCTCATCGATGTCGGCCAAAACTAGAAAAGGGTTCTTAGAAAGAGAAGATTTGGAGACAGGAGATTCTGGCCCACTGGCGAGTTTCTTTCCAGAAGTCCCCGAAACTGTCCCCACTTTTGTGCCAGTCCTCCTGCGGCAATTTTTGCGCTTTCTTCCCTGAACTTGCCACCCAGACTCCATGTCAATATCTGGGTTAGCGGCAGGCAGAAGAGCGGTGGTTTCTACTTTGGAGATCTTAGATTCTCCATTGAAAATAGAATTATTGTCCGGGATCAATATTCCTTGCGTTCTTTTGATCTCATCAGTCTCAATGTAGTCTACAACTACGGCTGGCTTCATAGAAGAACCTGCCGAGGAGCCAAGCTTAGAGTCTGAGTTGAAAGAAAGAACGGAAGAAGCACCAGTGTCCCCATCGGACAATTCCAAAATGCTACCGTCGCTTGATGGAGAGGAGACAAAAGAGCAGTCCGTTTCTGTGGCCTTTGAATATTTGGGATGAGGGGCAGCAGAGGCAGCAGAGGCAGCAGCAATATGAACAGAGATGAAATCAGCATAGATGTTTGCACTGCGAGTCTGAATCTCAGGCTCAGCCCCGAAGGGGCCAGAGTAGTATTCTTCGATTTGAACAGCGTTCAAGTCCATGGTGGCAGATTCTGCCTGGACTGAGAGTTCAAGAAGGAGCACGACAAGAAAATAGCCTGTGAGGCAGAGCGCGGCGATTTCCGAAACGCAATTGATGAGTCTGAAGCAAAAAATCACTTGTGCAATCATGATGAAGCGTTTGTCCGTGAAGAATGGAGTGATGGAAGCGTGTTTGCAAAAGGTGGGGCGAACACCTGTTTATATAGGAAAGGTGACTTTTTGCAGTCGGCTGGCCTAACAAAGTACGGCTGCGAAAAGGGCTGCCCGATCCGCGCGCATCGTGTGAATTCACCAAGCCACCAAGTCACCAAGTCAATATCGAGTAAATTCGCTAAGTCGACATCGTAGCAGTTTTATCTTCTGATTTTGGCGACAGCATGGGGTGGGTTTTTGACCTCCAAGCGTGTCTTTCGTTGCCTTAGCTGAAAATCTCTGGAAAAAAAAAAGTATTGTGGCAATCACAGTACAAGTGATGAGAGTGCGCCAATCTTGTATAGGTCAAACAGGCGGCTGATGATTGTGTTCATCTTCACTACAGAAAAGAGTAGAAAACGACGGAAGTATTGAATTAGAGTTCGATACTTGCAAATGTGTTTTACACATATACGATATTAAGTAGATGAACAACCGGAGGGTGATTTGCACCCATTCAAAAGCGCATGCGCACTCGTCTCGCACGCCCTGATTCGTGGAACACCACATGAATAAACATGGGGCCAGAACCTAAGCGAGTTGAGTCTGAGTCGGCTCAAATTTTTAAAGACTCGATATCACGACGCTATTCGTAAATCACCTTAATTTGCATGCTCGATCAATTTAGTGGTGTTTACCGCAGCCTGAGCTGGTATTACGACACTGTGAACACCGTGCCATGAGAGAACATTTCCTGAGGTCCTTTCTGACACTCTTTAGATGTGAATCCCTCGTGCTCTATTTTTAGAGGTTCACACATGCTGCTAATCCCAAACAAGCTCGGAGACTGAGATTCGCTTTCTGGCGTGGCCCGTTGTGGGACATTTTGAATACATGTCGGACCTTTGACAATGATCGAGATAAGTGCACTGTCCTTGGTTCTGGCGTATGTTTGCAAGTGAACCAAAAGCAATTTCATCAAAGAGCTAAAGCTGCCTCAACAAAAAAACAGGCGCAACAAGCAATTATAAGTATTCACGCTGCAGAAGCCTTCAGAGACCTTTCTCTCCACTGTGATCTCGTGACTCGACTCCCACGCTTTGAGCTTTTAGCTGATGGATGCAAACACTTTAAACACAATTAATCACATCCTACATTCACCCAAATATTAATCCAGGCCCGAGACCCAAAACAATACATCTTGTACTGGAAACTAGGCTTTACGCTTTTGCATTAGCCAGTTGTACACCATCCATAGAGCTCAAACACCATGCGGTGGGCCGTGTATGATAGCCAATGCAGCAAAAAACACACAGCGTGCAGCAAAGCCATGCACGACACACTGGTATCCATAGTGCCGAAACGGAACCAGAGACCACTTCCCGCCTCGCCAATTTTGCGAAACCCAAAAACAACTGTCCTAATAAACCACGCTTATAGTGGGGCCCAGGGCCTGTCACGTGGTATCCGCCATGTAGCCATCCCTCACGTGGCAAAGGGAAAAAACTTCCGTACAGGGAGAGTTTCTATTCCTTTCCTTTTTTCTTCAAGGGTTTTTAGAGAATAGTAGTATTCTAAGGATCCGAAGTACCGTACATACTTGAATTGAGAAATCTGATATTGAAAGGGCCAGGCCGCGCACCCGTACACCCCGCCTCCCCCGGGTGCGCGCTGTTCTACCGCCATAGGAAACACCTTGGAGTACTGCGCCCCTAGCCTCACAAGACACGACATCTTTTTTTTTCTCTTGCCAAAACTCACCCTTGCTATGAAAAATAGCAGCAGTCAAGGACGGTACACTCCTGTTGCTCACACATTGCTGCTGCCACGTTCTCTGGACGAAAACCAGGCGTTTTTCGACGCCGAACCTGCCAGCTCTCTGCTTGCCGCCGGCACATTGAGCCAGGCCCCAGACTCACAGCCCAACCCGGAATCACGGCCAAACCCGGAGTCACGGCCATATCCGGAATCACAGCCATATCCGGAATCACAGCCAAATCCGGAATCACAGCCAAATCCGGAATCACAGCCAAATCCGGAATCACAGCCATATCCGGAATCACAGCCATATCCGGAATCACAGCCAAACCCGGAATCACAGCCATATCCAGAATTACAGCCATATCCGGAATCACAGCCATATCCAGAATTACAGCCACTTGCACATGACGGGCCCGGCTTGCTAGATCACCTGCAGCACGTGGCCATCGAGGGCACATCGTCGCACATGGCGTCTGGGTCCGAGGCGGAAGGAGCCTCGGCGGCCGATCTAGAGCGCCAAGGCGCCGCGCAGCCGGGCCGTCTCTCCGCGGCCAGTAGGCTCAAAAACGTGGTCAACTACTTGTTCCCGTTCAAGCAGACATATGAGCGGCTCAACAACGGCATCTCCACCGGGCGGCTCCAGCTGAACGCGCCGGGGCGGTTCGTGGGCCAAGGCACGGACGGTGTGTTCCGGAACCTCATGGCCAAGCCGGACACGGAGGAAAACCGCATGGAACAGGAGCAGCACCCGCCCACGTACGACGAGGCCGCGGCGGACTCGTCGCCCGAGTACTGGGAGGCCACCATGATCAGCCCGATGTACGAGGACGAGGTGTTCGTGCACGGCCTCCCGGTGGGCAACATAGCCAACTTCGTGTGGAACGTTCTCGTGTCGGTGGCGTTCCAGTTGGTGGGCTTTATGTTGTGCTACTTGCTCCACACGTCGCACGCGTCAAAACAGGGGACCAGGGCGGGCCTTGGTATCACCATTCTCATGTATGGGTACAACGTGATCCCGGCCAACTTCGGGCGCCCGGACAAGGTGCCCACGCGCTACGAGCCCTCTGACCCGAACCTGTTCGACATATCCAAGAGTCTGCCCATCGCTACGGGCGGTGCGGTGGACAACTACCTGCTGGGGTTTGTCCAGCACCTGGATACTAACGAGACCCAGAGTGGGGCCCAGACGCCTGTGTCGGCCTATGGCATCATGGCGCTCGGGGCGCTCATTCTTTTAAAGTCCTTGGTCGACTTCTACTTCATCAAGAGGGAAGAGAAGCGGATCTTGGCGCCGCGCGCTCTGGAGGAAGTCCACACGACCACAGAAGAAGTGGGGCACACGCCCCCAGCGTGATGACGCTTTATAATTCTGCGAGCTTTCGTGGGTCCTGGGGCTTCAATTCGTCTTGCAGCTGCCCTTCATCCTTCGACTTCGCTTAATCTGGGGCTTCGCTTAATCTGGGGCCTCGCTCAATCTCGGGGCTTGGCTCGATCTCGGGACTTGGCTTGATCTTGGGGCTTCGCTTAATCTTAAAAAGCTAACCACAGTGGGTATTACAGGTGCGGGCTGGGAGAGTATAGTACATTCGAAAATAGTAACAGGACTGTATCTCCTCTACGAATCCACGCATGCATTGGCCATATGTACAACAGGCACTTAAGCCATCAACACGAGCATCTTCTCGTAAATCGTGAACACAATGCCTCCGCTCAACACCAAACGGCCCAATCTGGGCGTGGCGCCCTTCCAGAACGTCAACAACCCTTCCTCCTTGAAGATTTTCACAAAACAGTTCAACGTGGACGAGTAGAGCTTGTCGGCGCCCAACGCCTGCATTCTCGTTTTCACCGTGTCAATGGGCATGGTCGTGTACACGGTGACAATGCCCGCAAAAGACCCCACGGCAAATGTCGCCGCAGAAGATAAAGGCTCCGAGGCCTTGGTGTTGGTGGCCAGCTGGATCATGGTCTTGATGGCATTATACGAGCCCAAACGCACGGCCTGGTTCGAGGCCTGTCTCAACGAAACAGGAACCACGCCTGCGTACATGCCCCGGAAGCCCATGTCTCTCACTAACTTCACTGTTCCGGAAACAAGCCCCGACTGATACTTGGGTTTGGCAGCCTGCTTGTCGTCTATGAGCGCCGTCTTGATGGCCTCGAAGGGAGTCACGGCAATGACAGACTCCAAGAGTCCTGCACCGAGTCCTGCAAGTACGCCCCGAGGGCCGGACAACTTGCCGTCCCGGTCGGCCAAAAGGGCCTTCATGGAGTCGAAACCAAGGAACCGGACCAGCGCCTTCACGGTGTTTCCCACCACGAATGCAGGACACCCGACATAGAGCGACGACACGCCCTGGGTCTTGGCGACATTGGTGATCAACACCAAAGGGTTTCTCGATGCCTTCGATGACTTGTCCACCAACTGCAATCTGGTCTTGGCGAACTCAAACGGGTATGTGATCACGCCCTCGATGGCGCCCGCAGTGCCGCCTGCGACAAACGATTTGAATGGGTCTGCTTTCTTGATTTATTAGTATGAAAAATTCGAAGAAGAGCCGGGGCTTTGAGCGATGACTCATGGCCAGCCTCGGCTGGCTTGAGTGCCCATGACGATTTTCTGAGATAAGACCCAGAAACTCTCGAATTAATCCGGTCACTTGATACGGATTTTGGGGTCATCTATGTCATGTGATTGATTTTGCATGTCCACATACCTTTTGTTCGGGCATTGAGTAGTCGACTCCGGCACCGGGGCGAAAAACTCCACCATTCTTCAAGGCAGCTCCATGTCGCGCACGGAATATGCACGATTGTGCGTGCGGCTTTCGGGCCGAGCATGGGACGTGAGTCTTCGATGGGGCTAGATCGAGGGTCTCATGCAGAATCCGATATGACGGTCTTTGATCTGGCACTATTTGATTTGGCATGACCCGGGCCTCATCAGTGGGTCATTTTGTGCGGCCGTGGAGCTTCTGCTGTTTCTCATAAGCTGCTTGGCAATGTCCGGGCGAGCGCTGCAACCTTTCCGAAAATAGCTCGAATGATGTCTTCACAGCGGAGAAGGATTCGAAAGAGCAATCACGCTATATGAGGGCCTGCAAGTCAAAGACATCTTTTCGAACCCACGAATTGATGACTTCTCTGGATTTTTTGACATCTTTTCGAACCCACGAATTGATGACTTCTCTGGATTTTTTGAGCCCAAGTTGATCATGTTTCCAATCTTTTTGAGCTCACAAATTGATGATGCTTGTGGTATTTCGATCTGATGATGATTCTGATCTTTTTGAGCCCAAGTTGATGATGATTCTCATGTTTTCGAGTTCACAAATTGATGATGCTTGTGACATTTCGATCTGATGATGCTTCTGATCTTTCTCAGTTGATGGTGCTCCTATCTCTGTTCAAAGCTTGCACGTTTACCTGGACAATTGGCCTCGCGCTCGTGCGTCCATTCTCCCCTGCAAACGGAAAATTCAAATGAAGGGACCCTGTTTCCCGTCTAGATGACTATCCTTTCGCCCAGCCGCATGTCCCTTCTCTTTCCCATCTCATCGGCCTCGCCGTGGGCAGGGTGGAGATTCACACGCCCGCTAGCCCCGGCTTGCGTTCACCGTCCTAGATGTCCTCGAAATCATCGAAGTCGTCATCGTCTTCTTCGTCGTCGTCGTCTTCCTGGGCCTCCTTCTCGGCCAAATTGGCATAATACGCCGCAAGCACATCCTGCGCCTCTTTGTCTTTGCGCTCCGCCTCCGTGAGTGGGCTGGCGCTTGGCACAGGAACCGCCGGCGCCGCGTCGCTCTCGGTTTTGATTCCCAGCTCCTCGTGCTTGACCGCGGGATCGGTGGATTCCGTGGGCGCAGGGCCTGCCGCAGCGGCCGTTTCGTCGTCGGGCACGCCGAAACCTGTGCTCTGGCCCACCGTTGAGGCCGAGTGCCACGAGGGCAAGGCGTTCTGCTCCAACTTCTGCCTCCTCTCCTCCTTCTCCTGCTGCTCCTTCTCGTAGTTCTCGTCGGAGGCGGTGATGGACACGTGCAACGTGGCATTGGCCTTCGAGGCGGCGTTCTGTAAGGACTGGGACATCTGCAGACTGGAGTTTCCCGCCACGCGCGTGGAAAGTGTGTACGAGGCAGTGGAGCTGGACTGGGCCGGGATGGCCTTCGTCAAGGCAGTCTCGAAGGTGTTGTCCTCGATGTGCGCGTTGTCGATTTTCTTCAAGTACCCGATGATCGGGTCCACCTGCACCATGAGCCGCTCCAAATTCTCCTGCTTGATGGACGCCTGCTGCAGCGAATCGTCCTCCATCAAAACCGCGCCGCAGGTGTCGCAGATGAACGACGACTTATCGTCACTCAAAAGCGAGATCGCGTCCAACTGGCTCACCTTGCGGCCGCACCGCGAGCACACGTACCCATGTGGGTTTCCGTACAGCGACATCTCGTCCTTGATTGCCGACACTATGGAGTGCACCCGCCATTTCACCGAATCTATGGCCTCGGTGATGTGGATGTAGTAGTACGTGCGGTTGGTCAAGCGCTGCTGTGAGTTTTCTTCCTTTTGGATGTGGTTGGCAAGTAGCTTGTCGTCCACAAGCTTGTTGCAGAGCGACCGCAACTCCTTCCGGTGGATGCCCAAGAGATAGATGAGATCGTCTTCGGAGAGCACCAGGTGGATCAAGACGGCGTCGATGATCAAAACGTAGGGCCGGGCATAAAAGCCGCGGGCCACGAAGCGGATGAGAGAGCGTGTGGTGTCGTCCATTTGCAGCCGTGGGTTCGAGAGTCCCGGGTTTGTGGCGTTTCGGTGGGGTTGGAAAGGTTGGATTTTCCATATGGCAGAGAACGAGCACAACAGCGGTGCGGTCACGTGACCGGGCGAGTTGGCGGGCAACGCCCACGGGCAACGCCAAACACGAGTATATTGTGACAACGACGCGGGGACGTGCATACTCCAAGCTCAAATGTGGCGGACTCTGCTGTTGCCATTTGCTTCCTTTTGTTTGTCGTGTTTTTCGCCCTTTCGCTGGCCATGCGAGGGCCAATGGTGCTTCCTTGCTCGGCAGGCAAATTGACATTTCTGGCACGGGCGGAAAAACGGAGGTCTCGGCAGAATCTTCTGGAAGCTCTCGGGGTCACCTGCATCCATCGTGTTCTACGGAGTGTTTGAAGTTGAAACATGGTGGGCACTGCAGTCTGGGGAATGCGTGAGAATGGCGGCTTCAAAAGCTTGTTTCAGAGGCGACTGGCCTTTGGGTTGAGCTTCCTCCCTCTCAGCGTTGACTTCACATCAGGCCATTTGATTTGGTGCCAAAAATTGCTGGTTGAGTGGTCTGGCAGTGTTTCTGGAGAACCTTTGGGGTGTCACGTGACAGCCCGGATCACCGTTGGCTCTGCAGCTGGACTTTTGGGGCCAAAGGTGGAGAACATGATCTAAATGAAATGGCGTGTTGGTGGGATACGCTCGTTCTAGTTTACTTGTTGTGATGTTGTCATGGGAGCTTGAGGCTTAACCCTTCGCTCCTTTCTAGAGCCTTCCTAGGCATGTGCAGAAACCCGAATTGGATGTATCATACCAGTGTGACATAACCCAGACAATCCAGGACTGGACTATTGTCAAGAAGAAATACTCTCAATTTGATTGCAACTGAGATGATCTCCAGGTATTCCCGTTCTGATCGTGGGCGCAGTATAACGTTGATGCACTGAACATCCAAAATGGGCTCTTTGAACCATTCCCTACTTTGATGTCACTGGGACACGAAAAGTGAATGTTTCTCCTCAATAGAGATGTGTTCGACCCCGAAGAAGCCACACCTTCCACTATGTAGAACGAGTCACCCGGCTGCAATCTGCACAAACGGTGTTTTGGGTTCTAATTTCAGCAATCGTCTACATCCATTTTCAGCTTCCAAATCAAACCTGTTGGTCCATAGAGCAAGTCCATAGCCCACTCCGCAACCAAGCACAGAGACCCGAACTGGGAAACCGAACTTAAATGCGAAATTAATACAACATGCTGATAAACTGAACTAAGAAGCCGAACGCAAAATTAAGAAACCAAACTAAGAAACCGAACTAAGAAACCGAACTAAGAAACCAAACTGAGAAACCAAACAAGAAACCAAACCTAGAAACCAAACTAAGGAACCTAACTGAGAAACCAAACAAGAAACCAAACCTAGAAACCAAACTAAGGAACCTAACTAAGAAATAAAACAGGAAACCAAAACCAAAATTAAGGAATCAAAGCTAAACCCCACACTAAAACCCCATGCCCCTGAGCTGATCACCATGAACTGTTCAAAGCAAGCAAACTAAAGTAAACTACTACACCGAATTCACGAGCCTGAACTAATCATTCGAAACACAATATATGACATCCAACTCACGAGCAACATCCAGTATCCCAATCACACTCCCAAAGCCATGGCACTGGACTGATGAACCTGAACCAATGAGAGCAAACAACCCGACCCAATCCGTGCATCTTAACTAATTAATCGAAACACAATATATGAATTAACAACCCAGCCCCATATCCATAGCCCCGAACCACCAAACCTGAACCCAATAAACAAACCCAATAAACCAACCCAATAAACCAACCCAATAAGCCAACCCAATAAGCCAACCCAATAAGCCAACCCAATAAGCCAACCCAATAAGCCAACCCAATAAGCCAACCCAATAAGCCAACCCAATAAGCCAACCCAATAAGCCAACCCAATAAACCAACCCAATAAACCAGATCCTCGTCCAAACCCATGTCCCCAGCAAAAAACCCTAACCCCCGCCAAGTCACCGCATGTCTCACTGGATTGCTGCGCCAGCTCCCCGCGCTTTCTCGCCACCAGCTTATTTCGCATAGTTGCAAAATATTACGTACCCCTCTTTTTCTCCCCCGCCCCGTTCGTTTGCTTTTCCTAACGAGTATCTACCAACCAGAAACCACAAACACGGCCATCCCACCTAGCCGCCCGCAGTATGTCGTTCACTACTAACGCCGAAATCGGCCAGTTTGGTGGCAAGCTATACAAGTTGTCCCATGACTCGGCGGCCACCAACTGCAAAATGGAGGTCAACGTCTATATCCCCGGCCCGGAGCCGCGCCGCGTGCCTGTTTTGTTGTACTTGTCGGGCTTGACGTGCACGCCCGACAATGCCACGGAAAAGTCGTTCTTGGCGTATTTCGCCGCCAAGTTCGGCTTTGCCCTTGTGTTTCCAGACACGTCGCCCCGCAACACGGGCATACCCGGCGAGGACGACGAGCACGATCTCGGCTCCGGCTCGGGCCACTACTTGAACGCCACGCAGCAGCCGTGGGCAAGGCACTACAACATGTTTTCGTACGTGCACGAAGAGCTCTTGGACAAATTGGCCAGCCGTTTCCCGCAGCTAGACATGGCGCGGATCTCGCTCACGGGCCACTCGATGGGCGGCGGCGGTGCCATTTCCGGCTTCCTAAAAAACCCGGGCAAGTACCGGAGCGTGAGTGCGTTTGCGCCGTTGTCCAACCCACTGAACGCTCCTTTGGGCACCAAGAACTTCGAGGCGTATTTGGGCAGGGACACGACGCTGTGGCGGCAGTACGACCCGGTGTACTTGATCCAAGAGTACACGCACGAGCACCAGCCGGACATCTTGATCCATCAGGGGGCGCAGGACGAGTTCTGGGCCGAGGAGGGCACCTTGCAGCCGGAGAACCTCGTCAAGGCGGCTGAGGATTCCAGCTACCGAGGCAAGGTTGACTTGAGGATCGTCGAGGGCTACGACCACCTGTACTTTTTCGTGAGTTCTTTTGCGGAGGAACATGCCGTCCACCATGCCAAGGCCTTGGGTTTGATTTGAGTGTGCGTGGGGCGTGCTCTGGTCGGGGAGATGGGAAGAGATATGGGGTGAGGGCTGGACTGGGACTGGCTTGATTGAGCGAAGAGCAGGGAGTAGAACTGACTTGACTGAGCGAAGAGCAGTGAGTAAGAGAACTGACTTGATTGAGTTACCTAACAAATCTGACTGGACTGGGTGGACTGAAGAGTCTGAAGTTGCGACGTCTGGAATGATGTTGCCAAATAGGACATTGGCTGTACTGTCCAAAATGTACGTTGGCTATATTCCCTGAGATGGTGTTTGTGGTGGGGTCGAAGCTGTTTTAGTTCGGCGCAGTATTATATTGAGGTGGTCACAGCTGGCTCCTCATACACGATGTTTCTGCTGACATCCTAGACTGGGCGCATGTATTTTGCACGTCAAGGTGCGTGATTGTTGTTACTGAAGTAGAATGAAGCTTATGTTCTCTGAGCTCCGTCACCCCAAGAGCCAATGCAAAACTCGTGAGCATTTGCAAAAATACACGAGAGTTGCGGGAATCTGAAGAGATGCCTGGAGGTGCTGTATCTATTTTCCCATCACTCCCATTGAACGTCATAATGGTGATGGCTTAGTACACGTCTTTGTATGAGCTGAATATTTGGAATATTCGCCACAGGCGGCATACAAAATGCATGGGTTTTGGGTCCCCATAGTACCCAGAATTGAAGGTGGGCAGTGCTTCGGGATCTAAGCTTGCACCATTGCTCCCCAAAGAATTGAGAATCGAAAGAATTGAGAGAATCGAAAGAATTGAGAGAATCGAAAGGATTGAGAGAATCGAAAGAATTGAGAGAATCGAAAGGATTGAGAGAATCGAAAGGATTGAGAGAATCGAAAGGATTGAG